ATTACTGCCGCCACCACCACCACCGCCACTACCACCATCACCACCGCCACCACCACCACCACCATCTCCGCTATCACTGCCACCATCCCCGCTGCCTCTGCCGCCGTCTCCACATTATACAAAGAGCTAATAAATGCCTATTTTTTGGTATTATTATTTAGTATTGTTGAGATATTTATTAGCTCTTGATTATACGTAACTATGCGAGAGCGCGGCCTTTTAACCCCTTTCTTTGGTAACGGCGGAGAATAAATGCACTGACGCATCTTGACTGATGACGTTTTTTGCTGACGTTTTTTGCATGGCGCCGCCGCTGACGCGCGCGAAGAAGTCGTTTTTACGCCGCTATTTGCGATTATAAATTAGCGTGTGAAGTCGCGGTTTGTAAAACTGGCGGGTCGGTCGGTATATAGTGGATCAATGCCAATATCCCCGTAGCCTGTCCTGAGTTCTTCTGTACTTAGACACGATGACCGAACACAGAACTGTTATGCACCCGTAGGATGCTCTGTTGCTGTATTATGTTACCGTATATGTGATGCGCTTACATAGGAGGCAGAAGTAGATAATAGGGAAGGAGTGTGACTTCAATAAACAAGGGAAATTCGTCATTTACTATAGCCTTAGAATACCTACGTGTCGTACGTTTTAGTCTGTATTTCCGGATTGCGGGTGTATACGAGGAAACGATTTCGCTCGATTCTGGGCGAATGTACTGTGTACGATTTGAGCTCAAGTTGGTTGAGTTACGCGTAGTAAATCGTAGGTATTCTAAAGCTAGTAAATGACGAATTTCCCTTGTTTATTGAAGTCACACTCCTTCCCTATTATCTACTCCTGATAGGAGGGGATCGCGTAAGCCAGCACGGTAACGCCGGGGTTACCCTATCGTATCTATGTTGCGATACGTCGTGTCGTGTCTTGTTGCTGTGTCGTGTCGAGCTGTGGCGTGTCGCGTCGTGTCGTGTCATGATGTGATGTGGTGTGCTGTTCTGTGCTATGGTGTGCTGTTCTGTGCTGTGTTGTGCTGTGCTGTGCTGTGCTGTGCTGTGCTGTGCTGTGCTGTGCTGTGCTGTGCTGTGCTGTGCTGTGCTGTGCTGTGCTGTGCTGTGCTGTGCTGTGATGTGATGTGATGTGCTGTGATGAGGGCTATTAGTGTGTGAGTTCATTGTGTGCGCGGAGCGGCGCGTATCGCACAAGTCGCTCTATTGTGTTAACTCCCAATTAGCGTCTGCCAGCGTTGTGCGGCATCCAGTCGACGAGGACCACCACGACACTTCGCAGCAGTTCATCGCTGATTAATGTTCCTAATTATTTAATAAACGTCACGCCGGGCGGTGTGTGGTATCTAGGGGGCTCGTGTATCCGTCATCCGAGCCTCTCACTATAGCCTCCAGTGTCACGAGTACCGGTGTCACCAAGCCACGGAGCTGACTCACTCTAGACTTGCCCCCCTGCAGCGCGCACACTCGCATCCATCTTCACTCGGTCTGTGTCCACACCGATTCCCTACAATAATGCACAAATCAATTACTACAAATTAATCCCTGCGGTCGATTTATTTTATTTATCCGCTTGGAGTAATTGACAGGTAGCTCTAGCCAATCGTTGTTGTGATAGGGGCGTCGTTCTGAAAACGCTGCTTAGAAACAAAGTACTGACAGAGTAGAAAGAAACCTCGCATAAACTAGTATAGCTTGACCAACCGAGCAGCATCACTGTCCAATAGAGAAAGTGTGGTCATTTCACACAAACGGATAAGTTAGTTATCGTAGCAACCGGATCCGAATCGGACCGACTCATTGCGTGAAATCCGCATTGAATTCAGTTATTCTAGAGCTTAG